GAAACCTTCTATGTATGCAATGTTAGATTAATTAACTGTTTTATGATCATAACTCCTATATATGTGATTTAGCCCAAGCTTGTCTCACCGCTCTTTCTGTTTTCTCAGTCAAAATCAACTCTAAGGATATAATTATTGTGCTCTAAAAAATAAGCATGCAAATTCATTAAGTAACTCATCTTCGCATGTACGTTTCACATCACTACATGTGGGGTTCGGCCAGGAGTCGGAGCGGGGAAGGAAGATTTGGGGTATGTTCGATTGAGGTGTCGGAAGGGGTTGACGAGCGGAGGATTTGCAGAAGAAGGAAGAAGTGAGTGAGAGGTTCCTTTACCGTCGTATTTAACGACTCAAATGAAAGCGCGATCAAAATCTCCACATGCGGGCGACGGGACTATTCGGTGCCGTTGTAGACTGGGGACGCGACACTATAGTAGGAAGTAAGATTTTTTGCCAGATTTGCATACAAGTATGGCAGAGGTAATCATTTATTTTTTATTTTCTTTGGATTATCTGTTAGAGGTCAACAAAATAATCACTACCTCCTTTTCACCCTCTCATGTCACAAGCCATGCAACACCCTAAATGGCGTGCTGCCATGTCAGAGGAGTTTGCAAATTTTATATAAAAAAAAGGAGTTAGCAAATTTTATAAAAAAAAGGAGTTCGCAAATTTTATGCGCAACAACACTTGGAATCTTGTTCCCCCTCATCCATCATAGATTATTGTTGGTTGCAAATGGGTGTTTCGAATCATACACAATCTTGATGGCTCTATCAATCGATATAAAGCTCGACTTGCAAAGGCATTGACTATCATGAGATATTTAGCCTAGTCATTAAACTAGCAACTTGTACTTAGCCTGGTCCTCTCTAATGGCTGGTCATTTAAACAACTTGACGTCAACAATGCATTTCTTCATAGGCATCTAACTGAATATATCTACATGCACTAACCACCAAGATTTCATAATCAAAACAACCCAATGCATGTATACCACCTACAATAGGCCATCTAGTGGCTCAAACAAGCCCTTAGAGCTCGGTATCAACAGTTTCGTCATTTTCTTATATCCATTGGCATTGTCAACTCAAAGTCTGATACAACTTTATTTATTTACTCACTTAAAGTCTGATAAAATGTATATTCCAGTTTATATCAACGGCATAATTCTTATAGTAAGTGATGGCAATCACCTTCAATAAGTCATTAATAGGTTTGCACTACAATTCTCCATAAAGGATCCAAGAGATCTCTCTTACTTCCTTGGTTTTGAAGTCATTCCCTCCCCTCAAGGTCTGTTCCTCTCTGAACTCAAATATATCTAAGACCTTCTAGAAAAGACTCATTTGGCCAATGCAAATAAAATCCCCACGCCCATGTCTCCCAACCATATGCCAACCATTCTTAATTTTATCCCCCTCATCAATGCAACTGAATATCGCTCCATAGTTACTAGACTTGAATATCTCTCTTTTACAAGATCGAATATAGCCTCTGTAGTAAACAAACTTTCACAATTTATGCATCCATCGTACACTGGAGAACTATCAAACATATACTTTTCTCTGATGCTATCTCCTCTCTTTACATGGATTCTTAATGTAGCTACATAAATCATAGGTCATTTCTAGGTAGCTACTTCCCACTCACTTTATATTAATTCTCTTATACCAATACGGCTGGCAATATTGCCAATTGTACCTCCGCCAGCACTTATGTTATTTTTCTGGGTCATAATGATATATCCTAGAGTTGCAAGAAACAACGCATAGCTACTCATTCCTCCACTAAAGCAGAATATCGCACAATTGCTTCAGTCACAACTGAACTCACATGGTTCCAATCACTTCTTCATGAACTTGGCATTAAATTACCTACAATTCCTACTATCTATTGTAACAATGCTGGTGCCACCTACTTTTGAGCCAATCCAATCTTCCATTCTAGCATGAAACACATTGTTATTGACTTTCATTTTGTTGGGAAAAAATTCAAAATGGAGAACTTTGTGTTTCTCATGTCTCCTCTGCTGATCAACTTGTAGATGCACTAGCCTCGATCAACTTCATATCACAATTGGTTTCCTCTCTCAGGACTCCACCATGAGGGAGCATATTAGAGGAATATCATAAATTATTTTTATTATATCTTATATTTATCTTTTTTAGTCTTACCACATTATGTTTTCATTTAATTTAAATGTTAATACACCTTCATTAATTACATAATTTTATATCTATAAATATTGTATAAACTCCTTAGCGTAAAGATTAACTTTTTTCCTTCTTAATTATAATATCTTTTAAATATATGGAATATTGTCTACATCATACATAACGCTAAAGAGTAAACATGCAACAGAATATCCCAAAGTACATTGCATTCCAGAAAATATCAATTTTTAAATGAATAAACAATAGCGCCTCCACCTAGGTTCAAGGGTAACTTTTTCTTGCTTGTTTCATGTGAACGTTGATGTAAATCCTGATTTTCCATGAAATGAAATGAAATGTGTCTTTTGCTGGATGCGAACTCCTTGAATCGTGAGATTTGAAACTTGAAATAATTGGAGGAATCACACCTCATCTTTTTGGTGCATGTTTTTCTTTTAGTTTTGTTTATCATCATTCTTTTTTCCACCACCTTATATTCTTCAAAGCAATCTTAATTATGTAGTACGGAGTATTGTTAATCAACATGTTTAAATAGGAAGACAATATCATGTGATTACAATAATGAATGGCAAAGAAAAATGATATTGTAATCTCTTCTAGCTTCTTTGCTTCTAGGTTGGATTCATTCATCATTTCAAACCTTCAAATCTTCAACAACAACAATAAAAACAAGCCTTTATCCCACTACGTGGGGTCGGCTACATGAATCCTTTTTCTCCATTGTGTCCTATTAAAAGTCAAATTATCGTTTAAATCTAATAAAGAAAGGTCATTCCTAATATTTTCTAACCAAGTCTTTTTAGGTTTGCCTCTACCTTTCTTAACATAAGTCAAATCTAATACCTCTACTCTCCTAACCGAGTCATTGGAAGGCCGCCGTTTTATATGACCAAACCATCTAAGGCGACTCTCTCTAATCTTATCTTCTACTGGAGCTACTCCAACCTTTTCACGTATATGCTCATTTCGTATCCTATCTCTAAGGGTAAAGCCACTCATCCACCTGAGCATCCACATCTCTGCCACACTTAACTTAGTATTATGCTTCTCTTTTAATGGCCAACATTCAGCACCATAAAGCATTGTAGGCCTCACTACCATCTTATAGAATTTTCCCTTAAGTTTGAGGGGTACTTTTCTATCACACAACAAGCCCAATGCATTTCTCCACTTCAACCATCCAACTTGAATTCTGCTGATAATATCTCCATCTATTTCACCATCATTCTGAACAATAGATCCAAGATATCTAAAACGCGTACTCTTATTAATGACTTGATCGCCCAAAGTCACAATCCCCTCACTAGGTCTATTACTACTAGACCTGTCAATATTGGACACGACCCGAAAACCCGACCCGGAATTTTCGGGTTTGGGTTGACCCGAACCCGAAGCGGGCCGGGTTCGGGTCCAAATTACACTCCATATATTCCGTTTTAGATCTACTCAAGCGAAAACCTTTAGACTCTAAGGTTGACCTCCATAATTCAAGTTTACTTTCAACTCCCTCTCTAGTCTTATCAACAAGAAGAATATCATCAGCAAAAAGCATACACCAAGGTACATCCTCTTGCAAATGTCTAGTGAGAACATCCATGACTAAAGCAAAAAGATATGGGCTTAAGGTTGATCCTTGATGCAACCCAACCGAAATAGGGAAATACTTGGTCAAACCACCTTGTGTTTGAACACAAGTAATAGCTCCTGCATACATATCTTTAATGATTTGAATATAAGCATTATTAACTCCTTTCTTTTCAAAAACTCTCCAAAGCACTTCTCTTGGAACTTTATCATATGCTTTTTCTAAATCAATAAATATCATATGTAGATCCTCATTTTTTCTCTATATTTCTCCATCAAACCTCTTAATAAATGTATGGCTTCCATAGTCGACCTACCCGGCATGAATCCAAATTGATTTTGAGAAATATTAGTATCACGCCGCAACCTATGCTCCATAACTCGCTCCCATAGTTTTAAAGTATGACACATTAACTTAATTCCTCTATAATTCGCACAAACTTGTGCATCACCTTTATTCTTAAAAATATGAATTAACACACTCATTCTCCACTCATCTGGCATCTTTTTAGTATTCAAAAGTATTAAAAAGTTTAGTAAATCAAGAAATTACTTCATCTCCTAAGCATTTCCACACCTCTATTGGAATATCATCAGGTCCAACAGCTTTTCCACCCTTCATTTTCTTTAAAGCCTCTCTAACTTCGGTTTTATTAATACGTCGATAAAAATAAAAATCTTTACTTTCATTTAGGGTGCTAAGGTCACTATAGTCAATCTTATTTTCACAATTTTCATTAAAAAGTGTTGTAGTTTTTGCACTTACATAAATATGTTGCTTATGTTAGATCTATTCATGTACATGTATCACATGAGGAATTTAAAAAATCTCTAAGACTAGGATTTTTATTCTACACTTTTAAAATCTTAAAGTTCCATGCATGCTATAAGATCTCGAAGATATATTAAGTAGTTACATTGCAGATAAATTCCAATACAAAAATATATAGAAATTATGGAAAACCAAACTCATATTAGATCATCATGGAGAGTCCAATCAACGTGAATATTTTTGGTCAGATCATTAATTTGATGAGGATACTGGTCCAACGAATGCTATTGATTAACCTAATAAGTAGGTAAGATTTCAGGTCCGTTAAGTCAACTCACTGATGGGCTTAATTCTCACATTAATAGAGTTTTTAAAATTGCTCTAAGAGAGAAGTCTCTTCATGGGTGAAGAAAATGAAAGCTACAAACTCTAAATAAATGTACAAACAAGGCTAATATGTAAAATACCTTCCTTGCCCATTCTTCACGTCCTGTTCTCTTTAAATAGTTTTGCACCACTACCACACCATTAAAGTCTGTCATAAACAACATTCCGAGAAGAGCAGAAAAAGAAAATTGGTCAGGGCTAGATGAAAGCTTTGTTTGTAAAAACTTAATTAATTTTGTAAAAATATGAATTTCAATAGACCAGAAAAATCTGGGAATGCGCCCAGGTTCAAGTAGATTGCTTGTGATTGAGTTGGCAAAACTAAGTTCAATAAACAAATATGGGTTTCCACTAAGATAACAGCAAATAAACAATACAGAAGTTCCCCTATCCATATGGAATCATTTCTTCGTTTTGATTTCACAATTATCAATGAAAACTATCCCAACTATCTGAAGTCAGATTTGTAAGTTTCTCTTAATTATTTCTTCCAATTATGACTCGATACTTGCAAGAATCAAGTATCCCTGACTCATTTTCATCAACTGTTTAATATTAAAACTTTAGCTCGTCCCTTCTACACAAACCTTTCCCGTAATATACCTCTCCATTGCGTTATAAAGTTTCTTCTGATCTGCATTGAACAATATCAAACTGTCTCATCCTAGTTCTACCACCTTTTCCTCCTTCAGTGGAAATACTAATATGTTAACGATCATTCCATGCATCCATCTAACATCATGCCTAAGAAGCTAAAGAACTATTCTCTCTCAACTGCAAATCACCCCATGGTCAACACTAATAAGCTGCTTCCCTCGAACCTAACATTTCCCTGCTCATCTCGCCTGCCTGTCCTCAGAGTACATATCCAGAAACCCTTTTTACTCATTATGTTCTCTACTCCATCATCCTCTCCCTTCTCTTTCCTTTGCATCCACCACTTATGTAGCAATATTTCTCATCCATTAGCTGCATTTAACCTTCTTTCATTCTCATTATTTGATCCCCTATGCAGATACCCATACCAGACACAGCAAGCCAAGCCTCACCATCATATCTCCAAATTCTTTTTCTTCAGTTGCTCCATTCGGATCGTGCTTAGATGCCAAAGAACGTCAAACTGGTCCAAACCTGTTAACCAGAACCCGAAACAAGCCCTCTGCTACTTCATCTCACTTGCTTTCACCCACCAGTGCTCCAATATCACCCTACACCATTTGCCTGACATTTCTCTCATATTTTTATGCTTTTAACATATTTTTCTTTTTGAGGAAGGCTTCCTACTAAATCTCCATTATAGAAAGGAACTCACTCTCTACATGAACCCCTTTTATCTATGAATTGAATTTGAGTCTATCCTAATCTGACATAGTTTGTCATGAGGTTTGGCTTTGATGGCATGTAGCTCTGAATAGGGTTGCTTCAGCTTGGTTGGGATTGTGCTGCCAGGAAAACAGATCAGAAAGTATCTAAGCTGAACTTCAGAGCCAAAGCACCAAGGCGTAATCATAGTTTTTAAAGGTTTATGAGTTCTCCTTGGTACAATCTGGCTTCATAACGAATACAGCATTTATCCTCTTCAAGAAACTCAATTGATCTTACAAGTTTGCGCTTTCTTAAGATTCCTTCTAGTACTGGAAAATTTTAATATTTGCAAAGATTAACAAAATCAGTGTAAGGATGGCAATGGTCACCTATTTCAGCTTTGAATCTAAAGAATCCAGGTCCAATAACTTCACTCTTGCAATCATACAAGGCATCTACTACCTGTTGCAGGCCGATAGTCAAATTAAGAATCAAACTTAGGGTGCAAGTGCAACATAAAACAAAAGCTGCATTCTCATCACCGGATCAGATTTTAAGAACTGGAGCACCCTTTGCATATCATGATCATCAATTGCCCTGCCAATAAGAGCATGCCGGTTCCTTTGAATTAGAAATATAGCAACCTGCGACAATTTTATGATGTGGTTAGACTTTCAACAAGAAAAAGTAAAAATTGCAGTTCAATAAATCTAATTATTATTACATGCTACAAAATGAAGCTATTTGATAAACCATTCCCAAAGGAGGAAAATTCAGTAAAAAAAAAAAGGAAAATGTAATCTAAATATTCACAATTGAAATAAAGATAAATTGGTACCTAGTTCTTTATAAAGGACCAAAATGGATCCCGACTATATAAAAATCTCATTTTAGTCCCTTGACTTTTTAAATAGGGACCTAAATGATTCCATAGAAGGACTAATTTGATCCCTATTAAAGAATCAAGGGACCAAATTGAAATTTTTATATATTCAGAAACTATTTTGATCCTTCAAAATTAAGGGATCATTTTGGTCCTTATCTCATTTATAATTCAAAACCAAGTCATATACTACAACCTACGATGTACAGAGACGGATACGGCGACACAGACATGACACGACACTGACACAGGACACATCAATTATTGAAAAATATAGGGCACAGACACGGGTCGGGCATGGTATTTTAATTTTTATATCTTAAAAATAGTGTATAGAAAATAAATAAGCAGAATATTAAGAATAATTGATAAATTAGAAGACATTTAACTAGGATCCATGCTTAAAATGATTAATATTAGAATGTCTAGAGTCATGTGTGAATGTCATGTTAGTCATCGAGAGGAGAGATGACAATGCTATCGAGAGTCAAGCATCGATGTCAAGTCCAGGGTTTTAAAAGTCGGACTGGACCGGCCGGTCCGACCAGTTCAACCATGAACCGGTTTGAAGGCTGGTCCGATACAACATAAAAACCAATTTTGTATTAAACCAGGATGAAGCAGCCAGAACCGTCAGCTCAAACCGGCGAACCGGTCCTAGTTCCCTTGAACTTGCCCGTTCAATTTCTAAAATATTTAAATAATTAAATAAATAATTAATATGACACAATGGAAAAAAAGGATTCATGTAGCCGACCACACATAGTCGGATAAAGGCTTGTTGTTGTTGTCGTATTAAAAATAAAATATTAAGTAATATTTGTAATTTAACAAATAAATTTAAATTTAAAATGTTTAATTTTTAAATAAAGAATTTCCAACTAAGCATTTTACATGTCTTCATCACTCCAAGTGAGTTCTTACCCAATCCAAACTCAAAAGGCAATATAAAGTATAAACATTACCAAGAGGAAGCTCTATAAGTAATGTGTGACTAAATAAGTTGAAATTCTTACTTATTAAGTTTACAACATACACTATATATTTTAAAATAGATTTTAAAATAAACTTTTTATGATATAAATAACATTTATTTTTAATTAATAATGTTAAATGAATTATATATTTCCTTTATTATTTATGTACTATAAAATTTATTTATTTATTTACTAATATAAATGATATAATCTTAATAATTTATTAATGTAAATTTATAATACGAACTTAACATATAATTTATAGGTATAAATTATATCTAAACATATAACATAAATTAATAATAATTTATATTAAATTTATAAATTTATATGTAATCCAATGTTTTGTTAATTTTGAATTAAATTTAAAGATTGAATGTGTTTAAATTTAAAATTACATAAGATATTATTAATGTGTTAATTTAATTTATTTTTTAATTAAAATTTTATATTATTACATGATTCTTCTATCATTTAAAATTAATTTAAATAATTTTCATATTCATGATGTCATCCAGTTTAACCTCGATTCAACTCCAGTCGAACCATTGAACCCTGAACCCCTCCATCTTTCGGTTCTATGTTTGATCCGATTTAACAACCTTGGTCAAGATAGCATTAGCCTTTGATGTTGAGATGACGTCAATCGTCAAAGTTGAGATGATGATGGACAGTATAGGGGCATAATTGTGGGTGTATAAATTGTTGGCATCGTATGTGAATGTCAAGACACCATCAGACTTCAATGTTGAGATGGTTTTAAAAAATTCATGTTATAGCAACGTCGGACATATGGCATCGTGCGTTGCTGTGAAACATTAGTCGTAAATGACTAAAGAGAAATGAAAATGAGAATGTTTGGGGAATGAGATATTGGGCACGAGTGATTGATTTGGAGCTTTAGAGAGAAAATAAAAAAATTAGTTTTTATTTTTTATTTGAAGTACAAGAAATTACATTTAAAAAAATTCATAAAATATTTAAGACGTGCATATCGGACAAGCATGTCCGATTTATTTTTAATATTTTTTAATCGGACATGTCTTTGGTATGTCCAACACATGTCGGAGGCATGTCGAGCATATGTAGCGTTCAATACGTGTCGGACACTGCATACTTCTTTGAAAAGAAGTGTCGGCGCATCAATAGACTATAACCCTTCCATCAACATCCATAAAGCAAAAAAATTTACGAAAATATTTAAGAAAATACTGAGGGTTAAAGTAGGATCTTGCATTGCACAATTTCCTAAGTAATGTAAATGAGTTTTGTATGGAGGAATTGATTTATAATGTTTTAAGCATATATCAATATCCCTAATGTAACTCTGACACCATTTAGCGTTGCTGTCATGTTTTATGTTGTGAAAATGAGTAAAGTAAATAACTATTTGGTAAACTCAAGTCAAGATTGTTGTCTAAAGCATTCCAAGAATTCTCGATGAACTGCTGGGGACTAAAGTGAGGTGATTGAATGATTGAAATAAATATTATTTATTATTATAAATTTCAACAACAATAATACAATATCCTAATCATAATTACTATATAAATTAAATTAAATTATTTATTAATTAAATAAAAAGCTAAAATCCCAAAGTTGCTTCTCTATGATGCTACTAAACTATTGTTTAAAGAAAGCTATTGTTTATATTTTATAAAATCGGATTTTTTTTCTCACAGTTATTGAATGAAAAAGCCTTAAAACTACTTTTGTCATACACAAGGAAGGAGAAACAGGCGGCAAAATACTATGCTAAATGGATCCTTAATTCCATAATAATTACTCAAGAAGTTTCAAATTGCATTTTATATTATATTACCATTGTTCACAATAATATTTAACGTCACTTCATAACATTGCAATTCATAGGCACCTATAGAGAACTCTCCATAAAACCTTCCTTTCACAATAATTTTTTAGAACTTAACTATCATTAGTTTCAAGTTACCCGTCTTAGTTCCGTCAGTGTCAACTAAACTCACATCTCTATCCAAATCTTCTAAAAGCTATGGTTTTTATTTGAAGAAAGAATTATCATATTTAAACTGAAATCAGATGCCTATATATGGGCAGAATAGATTAATAAAAAAGGAAGAAAAAAATTTGGCGAGCATATAAAATGTAATACAAGTATATCACTCTGATCTAGTACTTTCTAGAGTTAGAACTTACCAACCAAATAATATTTGTACAATAACACTCTTCATCAAGTTAGAGTATATATATTAGTAAGTTCTAACTTTTTACAAATATTAAAAAAAAATCCTAGAGCTGTGATAAAGATATTGTGTTTTTTTTTTCCCGAGAAGATTGAATCTTTGATAAAGAAACAGTATATTTTAATATGTTTGATTCTGTTACAAAAAAATAGAACTGCTTGTAATGTAGATAATTATCTGAATATCATGTTTAGGATAGGTTATGTGATAGGAAAGTCAAATTATTCTGCAAGAAGTTTAATCAACATCATTTCACAAAAAAAACTGGTCATGACCCTGCATTCAACTTCAATAATTAATCAAGCTAGAACCGACTGCTTCTAGCTTTTCTAAGAAACAAGATTTCCACCAATAGAGACAGTATTATGAGGTAGATTCATAATCCTCATTAGATTCTGCATAATATGAATAAGAAGAGCTTGAAACTAACGATGGTTTCAAGTAAAATGAATGTAAAGTTCAAAGATGGTGATAGTGGTGGGTGACCATGGCGGTGGCGATGGTGGCTAGCGACTAACAGCGGTGGCAACAGGTGAAGCCGGTGGTGGCTGGCAGTCGGGGACAAGCAGAGCTGATGGTGGCTGGCAATCGGCGTCGGGTGGAGATGATGGTGGCTGACAATCGACAGCGAGTGGAGGTGGTGGCCAACAGGTGGCAAGGGTGAACGACAACGAGGGTGGCGACAATGACCGATGGTGGTCGGCAGCGGTGGGTGGGGATGGACAATGATGGTGGTGGCCGATGGCGAGCTGGCAGGGGTGGTAGTTGGCCGGGAGGAGGCAACGATGGTGGTGGCCAGAAGCGAGTAGCGATGATTGCTGATAGTGGACAGCAATGGTGGCAAGTAGTGATGGTGGCCGGTGGCAAGTAGTGATGGTGGCCGGAAACGGCAGGTGACGGTGGTGGCTGGCGGTGGGAAATAGCAAGAGAACTTGCTTACAATGAAAACCGTTTTCACTCAAAACTGGAAAAGTTTACTTTACCTCAAAAATAAACTAAAACACTTTATATTGCATTCCTTTTTCATCCAACCAAAGACCAATATTTTCAAAACTCACGTCAAAGTTTACTTTACACCCACCTTCAAACCAAATAGCCCCTAAGTATTTAATCACAGCTACATATGGTGATTTATAAATAATTAGTGAAAGTTGCACTTAGAAACCAATTCATTGAACTGATTAGGAATTTTATAGCTAATTTGAGATCAAATATTGTCAGTTATCCACTAAGATACACAATTAAATATAAATTATGTTTAAAACCACCAAAATGTGATATACAAATGTAACTTGTCTACTATTTAGTTGATTAGGAAAAATAAAGCATGATTAACCACTAATTAATTTTTTTAGTAACTGTAAAGTAATTATCTAAGAATGATAAATTATATTTTGATAGCAGTTAGTTATTACAAATTACAACTAATAATAAATTATGTGCGACTAATTAACAACTATTTACAGTAAGCTTCAAAAATATAATTTAATACAAGTTACTATAAGGTAAGGTTAATATAAATTAATTGTTCAATAATGCTTAGCCAGTCATAATTACATTCACTCGGTCACTAAATATAGCTCAGTGAAAATCAAGCATAGCTAATTACAAGCTTCTGCTATCTATATGTATTGAACATAGAGAACAATGCAGAAAAATGCTGCTAACAGTGTAAGAATAATACTATCTGAACTGTTCAACGACTAAGTATTCCATACCATGCCGAGCAAATGACCAACTATGATAGAGCCAATTGGGTCATAAATTGGATTTCCAGTAGTATGAACAGCCACCAATGATGCTCCAGCAATAACAAGACCTGTGACTGCAGCACCATCCTGTAAAATTGTAAGAAACTTTGACAAAGTGAAACAATATTCCATATTAATATATCATGGAAGAGGAAAATATTAGATATAGCTGATAAGAAGCAACATCATCATCATCATGAGGAGTTTTATCTCAACAAATTTGAGTCAGCATAATGAATGATACTTCCCCATTCATTATTGCCTAGTGATTCATATGGTGTTAGATCTATTTTGCATTTTTTTTTTCACATCTAATGATGTTACCTTTGATTGACTTCCCTCCAAATCAATCGACACAATTCCATATACTACTGTTATCAATACATCTTTTGCTCTCTAATACACATACTCAAATAAAATATATCTATTTTCAACAGTTATCCTCAATAAGTCTCCCTAAATTAATAATTTATCCTTACCCTACCAAGTTTTTTCCACACATCTATAAAACATAACATTCACACTCTTGATTTATCCACCAATGAATTTCTCAATTCCAAACACTAAATCTTTATAGCCTAGTCATTCAAACTGAAATTTAACTAAAATTAATCTTCAAGAGTTCATGATATGAGAAGGAAAAAATAAAAATAGTTGCTAAGTAGGCCTGTAATGGTGTGTGATGCATTTTACAAAAAATCTACTCATCAATTTAATTGCAATGCATTATCACCTCTGTCATGACTGCGACAGATGTAGGATCATGACCACGCCACACATAATCTCGGATTGTCATTCCCTCTGCAGCTGCCCCTTTCTTGACTGCTTTTACAGCAACAAGCAGTGAAGCACCTAAAAATAAGCAAATAGAAGATATTGCATTTCAAAAAATTTAAGGAAATAAACTACGCTTTAATTTACCTTCGAGAATGAATGATCCTCCAATTACTATGGCGGCATACTTAATGTTGTCTGGAGGCTGCTCAAAGATTTTTTATTTTTAAGCATCAGCCAAATTTAATATGGACCAAATACAGTTAAAAATGTCAAATTGGCACCTTTACCACATAGAATTAAGAAAAACAACTCATCTGCGTGACATACATGTGCAATCCACAAGTTTTGAATTCCATGCACAATCGTAGCACCTGATCCCAAACAAAAAATACCAACAGCAGATATCAATGACCAGACAAATCTTTCCTTTGAATAACCATATCTGCAATAAAAGCACAAATAAAAAAAATGCAAATCAGGAGAATACCGCAAGAAACATTTGAAAATCAAGAATTCAACTTCATTAGTTTTTGCTAATCTAAGAAGACAACGTATTTTTGCACCTTTTACCTAGAAAATATGCATTCATAATTTTTTTTCACAATTTCATAACACTATGGTATAATTTTCAAATATAAATGAGAGAGAAGATGGATAGTAAATGGATTCCACATGTGGCCAAAACAAAACTTACGGATGTAAGGCATCTGGACCACGCTTAGAGCTATTCAAGCCATATGCAAGAAGTACCTACCATATAAGACATAAAACATTAACATAGATAACAAATGATTAAGAGCATAAAATACAACAGATATTTGAACAAATATTATATATTATAATTGAAAATTCATTTTATAGTAAAAGATAACCAGAAGTTCTCAAAAATATTAAACCAAGTCAAATGAGACAAATACCTGATTCGCAATGTCTGCAAATGAATGCACCATTTCAGCTAGCATAACATGGCTAGAAGTTGCCAACCAAACCCCAAATTTTAGTGAGAAGACAAGGAAATTGCACCACAAAGCAGTGGTAACTGCTTGCTGGCTGAGAGAAGCAGAAATTAAAAAAAAAAAAAACACAAGTTAGTCAAGGAAAAGGTATGGGTACTAAATGGGTTGGCCAAGTTTATTTATGCCTATTTGATGAGGCCCTCAAAAGCCCATTATGGATTTGTAATATCACAGATTTATTATGGGCCATCCATTGAAGTTCGTTGAGGTTCATTTAATTTGCTTGTGCAAGCAAAGACCTTAAATAGATTCCAAACCTGAGATGCACAAAGACAAAATAGATTCCTATAGTTTACGTATTTGATTGATGGCCTCTGTACACTAAGGCTTACTTTTAGAAGAGTAAAACTCTGAGAAAGCAAGGAAATTCAAAAGTAAATTGAAGTGCCTTCAATTCTTTGAGAAAATCCAAGTTTTGGAACCAGTCTCATGTTTCTTTTTTTCTTTTTCTTTTTTTGAACAATACATTCTCGTAGTGAAAAACCTAGGAAGTCTTGTTTAGAGATCCATAGAACTGATTCAGTGCTGAGAAGCCTTAGATCTCTTTCAGCTACCAATGGATCTGATTTTGTGCTTTTACAAAGTTCAATAACAGAACAAACTAACCCAAATATTTATTCATACAAGTTATAATCTCAAATACTAAAAAATATTTGAAATAAAAGAATACAATAATTAGCAAAGCATGGTGATATCGATCATAAGAGAACTGCACAACTATTTAATTCTCTCCTCTTTTCCCCTCAATCTTTTGGATTTCTTAAGTTCTAAAATAGTTACTGTAAAAATATCAAGGATACTATTTCAGGCAATGTACAAAATAACCCCGTTTTTGTAATTTACGATAGTTTTCTTATTTAAAATTCTTCACTAGAAAATGTAGTTACCCCTGCTCAACAAGATGGAAACATCCAAGACAAACTTCATTGATTCCTCAAAACAATTCATGTTAAAAAGGAGTGTAACCTTAATTTGTTTTGCACTCAGCAAATACTTTTTTCCTTTCTTTGTTTTGTTTTCTCAGCTCTCTCCAATCTCTTCCTTTTTTAATGCCTGTTTAGCAAAATCCATTCAATGAGCTCTCCAACCTACCTGGCTACCAGTTATCATAGCCAGAGGATGACACAATTCTTGTAATAGTAAGTGATTTCTTGTAATTATAAGTATTAAATGGTGCGTCGAGAATTTCCAAGATCTTTATGATGGGACCTTCTAAGTTACATTATTCCTCTAGGTTGTAGTGCATATAGATTGGTGCAAAGAAATTCAAGTTGAAAAGGCAGAAACATTATTTAAAATTGCACAATATGAGGCTCGCTTTGAGGACCGCCTCAGCACAATTCTAGTGAAAAACGCCTAGAGGCTTACGCCTCGGTCTTTTTTTATGAGGCTTATGCCTCATCTTGGCTGAGGCGCGCCTTGCTTCGCTGGCATGAGATGTACGCCTCACTATATATATATATATATACCTAAATCTTATATAAAAGCCTAAAAAAAATCATGCTTTCTTGCACCCCCAAGCTACAACAACTTTCTCTCCCTCTAGTCCTCCGCCTTCACCGTAGCCACCATTGTTGTAGTCGCCACAGGGGATCACTTGAAAGCCGCATGCCACCACCATCTCCTCTAAAAATTTTGGAGTATTACTCTTATCTTTTTGTTGATGACAAACATTTATAAAAAATGAAGATAATTGAAATAAATGAAAAGAAGCACATTGAGAGGTATCCACCCTATAGGATGAGGCACAGGAGAGATCAAATTGTTATGACAATGACTCAAATAAAAATCTACTTAGTAATGATAGTATAGATGATTTCTAAGTTATTGTCAATTATTTTAACTTTCATTAGTAATTAAATGTAGATTAGCAGGGAATTAAGAAAGAAAACATTTAGAGCTGAAATTGATATTATATGATAATTTTATGCAATTCATATATTTTTGTTGTTTTGCTCTTATAATATTTGGATTTTAATAGTATTTCACACAATTTATCACTTATCACTTTACATCTTATGCATTTTTTTTGTTTCATATGTATGTAAATTTGTTACATCATAATTCAATAGAAGTTAATATGTTATCTTGTAATATATTATTTTGGTATTATATAAAAAATCAATTTTAATTCGTATTTTTACTTTATGCAATTTTTAGATTTTGAGGCTTACGCCTTAAAACACATTGAGGTTTATGCCTCCTCACAAATGAAAACTGCCTCAATACCCAATTGTACAATTTTAAACCTTGGGCATAAGAGTTTGATTTATCAGAATATAGAAGATTCATTGGGTTTTAGTTGTTTACCAGACCGTGGTTTCTCTATACAGTTATTTTACCACTCAGGATTTCCATTATCACTAGATAATAGAAGATACCTGCAAAAGATCATACGTTTTGGATACTTAACATGCTTTGATAGTTATATTATGTGAAACCAAGCCATTATCTAGTGGCTGGCTTTTGCGAGAAACAAGTCAGCTTAAGCAAACTGAATATAACCATAAGATTTGTTGACCCAATCCAAAATTTTTTATATAATCCGGAATTCCATAACAATGCCAATTATTGGATTTTCGGCCTGAAACACCATCAATGTAGGGATTAATTTGTGAATAATGGTGGTCAAAGTTTCCCAAGATGAAGGCAACAAAATGGTCTACCATCAAATTCTATTTCTTTTAAATTCATTTACGTTCCATCAACCAATGAAGCTTCACATTATCTCTTCTCATCATTGTCTTAGTCCTTTCAATAGTATAGTTTCAAACGGCCGTGATTATCAGAATATAAGCGAATAAGAACAGATCAAATAGATCACCTGGCGTCTTCAAACTTGGCTGCTTTTTTTATCTTTGCAACTCGAAGAGAATAATCTGCACGTCAGGAGATAAAAAATAAGTTATAAATAGAAGGAAAACAAACCCATAGCAGATAGCATTGCAAAGGACATAAATGAGGGATAAAAAAGGAGGCAGAAGAACCGACAGCGAACAAAGGAAGTGGAAAAGGGTGACTGCCGACCACCGCCACAAACAAACGGCGCCGAGGACGATACGTCGCGGAGCGAATCTCTGAAGAAAACCGCCGGCAGCCACGGCTGCGCCGAAGGAGAGCCGCGGCGTAAGAACAACGGCGGCGAGTCCTTTTCGGGTTTTGAGTATGATGAGGAGAAACAGATGTGAGGAGAAGGTTTTTGAAGAAAGAAGAAAGGCGAAAGGGATTCTTTGACGCAAATGATCGAGCGGGATTTGAGCATGCAGCAGGAGACACGGAGGATCTTTCTGCCGCTACTGCCCTGCATAATCTCTCGCTGTCTTCTCGAGCTCGCTGCCTCGCTCCACGGCCAGCGCCACCGCCGGGTCGCTGGAGGCTTGCTGTCTGCAATTTTTCACGAGATAGGGTAGAAATTTTGCTTGAAGCTCACAAATCGTTTGATACAGGTTATCAAAACGGGAGAGTTTATTACTTGCGGCTCAACGGACCATCGGAGGTCAGACACGCTGATGATTTGGCGCGTCCTAATTCACGGCGGACCGCACGTTTTAATTTCGCTCAAAATGATGATCTAGTTTTGACTAACTCGGTTCGACAAGCCACTCTGGCTAATGCTTTTAATAGAATTTAGATCAAATTTGCTTGCATTATCATTAAATCATTATAATTTATATATACAATAACAACATTATCATCAAGCATTTGTCCCACTACATGGAGTCGACTACATGAATTATTTTTCTTCATTGTCTTTTTAAAAGTCAAAGTCTCGTTTATATATAATAAAGAAAGCAAGTCTTTTTAGGTCTACCTCTACCTTTCTTAACATAAGTCAAATCTAATACCTCTACTTTCCTAATCGGATTCTGTGCGGAGTCCGTATGTCGCCTGGAGACCAATAAAAATGCACAATGTCACCCCAAAAATGTACCGCACTCGGTACCAAGCGTAACCGGAAGGTCCTCCCGTCTGATGTCTGCACAGAATAATTTCCCCATCGGAAGGCTGATGCTTTATGTGACCAAATCATCTAAGACGACTCTCTCCAATCTTATATTCCACTGGCGCTACTCCAACCTTTTCATGTATATGCACATTTCATATTCTATCTGTAAGAGTAAAGCCACTCATCCACCTGAACATCTTCATCTCTACAACAATTAACTTAGTATTATGCTTCTCTTTTAATAGCCAACATTCGTCACCTTAAATCATTGCAGGTCTCACCACCAACTTATAGAATTTTCCCTTTAGTTTGAGTGGTATGTTTCTATCACAAAACAAGCCCGATGCATTCCTCCAATTTATCCATCCAACTTGAATTATGCTGATAATATCCCAATTTATTTCACCATTACTCTAAACAATATATCCAAGATATCTAAAACGTGTACTCTTATTAATGACTTGCTCACCCAAAATCAGAATCCCTATTATTACTATAAATATACTCCATATATTTAGTTTTAAATCTACTCAGGCAAAAACATTTAGACTTCAAGATTGACCTCCATAATTCAAATCTATCTTCAACTCCTTCTCTGGTCTTATCACCTTAACCATTTGTGATTGAATATCTCAAATTAAGTTTTTGAACCAAAATATCCTTAAAATACGTTTTCTGATAGTTTAGGAAAATGTAAAAGCACAATGGCGTGGAAAGATATGGAGTCTGGATCTTTTTAAGTCCAATTGATTAAGGTATTATTTTATAATCTAGTATTTGATTATTTTAATATATAGCTCTGATTATCAATAATAGTGGTATTTGAGTTGTTTAATTATAGGTTTAAGATTTCAATCCTTCAATTACATCCTAAGATGTCACATAGTGCTTGAAAAGTACCTCCAATCCAATTTACTTATAATATTTCAGGGTAAATTGATGTGGGTTGCCCGCTAGGTCAACCGAGGTTTTAACTGGCCTATGGACAGTGTTTCCTCGTTTAAAAAAAAAAGATTTTGAGATACGACTTTATACTTTATTTCTTGAGAATCAATATAATGAAGTGGTAACTAACAATGTAATTATATAAAGTGCACATTTTTATTCAATAACTATTATGATAGAGTTCATGAGATATAAAACATAGAAATGGTTCCTTTTAAGATGTAAAATTGCAATGAATATTAAATTTATTTTATCAAAGGAGATTTTATTAACATTGGACAAGCTCTTAATAATGCTCTTGATAAAGGACAACATGAGTTTAACCTGCCACAAAAAAAAAAAAAAATCTTTAATTACTACAGTTTAAAAATCATTGCTATAGAGTGCTGCAAAAAGTAATGAATTTTGATAGGGAGATACTCCTCTAAAATATTAGACTCAATATGCTGAAAATTTTCTTAACTTTTAGGCTTTGTTTGGATAAATTTAGATATTTTTTTTTTACTTTCAAAATATTTTTGTACTGAAAAGCAGCTTTATAAAGCAGTAAAAAAGCTGCTCCAAATGAAGCCTAAATTACAACTTATCAAATAATAGATTGTTCTTTCGTTTTACTATATATCATTTGTAACTATATCTTTGAGGGTTGAAAGTATGCAATCATTCTATTTACTCTAAGTGAATTTGAAGATATTGTCATCAAAATGATAAGGTAATGATATTGAAGACATTTCTCTATAATGTTAAAATATGTAATTGTGAAATTTTTTAGTTGTTAAATTTTATATATGCTGTACTAATCTTAAAGTAAATCTAATTATTTTCAAACATATTGTATTCTGATACAATATGTTTATGAACATCGTGACATAATTTTATTATTTTTCTCTTAAACAAATACGTAGTTTTGTCGAAGATAGGTTAATGATAATGAAGTTGTTTTTTTGATATGAGGAGATATGGCAATTACATTTCTATTATTTTAATCAAATAATCAAGAAATTAATTAAAGGAACCTAATAAAAGTTGAAATGATTGGTTAATTCTCTTAGTTCCTAATATATTTTCTTCATAAACAAGGATTAAATTTTACTTCATTTAAACCAATAATTTCCTTATATGAAAATGGACTTTTTTTGGAAGGTTATATTTCAAAATATAAGAGATGTACATTTTGTCAAATTTTTCTATATTTTTCTCTATTTTTCAATGCACACACATGAAAAATAATATTACAACAACATTATGGAAGGTTGAATTTATAAATTTTATATTTATATTTTTGAGATGTTAATAAATAATAGTTTATACATATTTCCTTAGGAAGGACAAATTATGACTATAGTTCAAGATGATTGTATTATGGTAGTTTTATAGGTAGTATTTTCTGGTAAATTTGTTTGATGTTTGTGTTGGAGCAATTGAACAAGACCATCAACTTTTATATTATCAACATTTTCAACATTTTTATCTATTTTGACATAAGTTTCGATGCAAAATTATAAAATCCAAAGATCTAAAAAGGATGAAATGAAAATTTTTTGAATTAATTTTAGGATCACATGAATCTATATTTTATATGTTTATAACTAGAATGCTCACCTCATCATAATGATCCCAACAACATCAAAATTGTGTAGCACATTTAGACTATGCATGTAATAGCCTGTATTTTGACTTCGTCAAAATTTTTTTGAAGTCATTATTACTCCAAATCACAAACAGTCTTTGTCATAGTGTTGTTATTGTATTATTTTACTTGCATAATTTTTTTTTATAATTTTTAGGCACCGGTGAAAATCCTTAAGAAATTGATATCTATCGCACTACAGGAAAAACGCTGCTTACCGGCGGTTATGACCGGCAGTTAAAGGACCGCCGGTATTACAGGTGGTTCATCTGGCGGTGTGGCCGCCGGCTCGTACCGGCAGCGTACCCGGGGGTTTTGTAACGTTGGACCGCCGGTATTAGCGACGGTCTTGTAACCGCCGGTCTTCAATCTTACCGGCGGCGTACCGGCGGCATATACCGCAGTTGATAAGTGATGAAATTACCAGCGGTCATGACCGCCGGAAGACCGCCGGTAAATGCCCTAAAATGAACGAGCTCGAGCCTTGCATTTCATTTCTAATATTTCCTTCTCTCTATTCGGACGAGCTCTGTCGTCGCCTCCGCCCGTCTCGCTCGATCATGCGCACTGTCTTGCCGCCGACGACCTCTCTCCGACCGCCGACGAACTCAGTCCAACCGCCGACCCCACACCGGCCGCCTATCGCATGATCAAGGTCTGCTATCTTGCCGCCGTCGATCTCACACCGGCTACCCTATTTTTCGTGTGAGTTGAAGAAAAATCGTGATTTGAAGGTATTCTTTAATGTTTTTTTGTGATTATGTGTTCTCACTAGATATTTGCAATAGTTTGTAATTTATTTTATGATTGATTGTGTCTTAGGGTTAGATTTAAATTTCCATGATTTAGGTTTGTAAGAGTTTGTAATTTATTTTATGATTAACATCAAAAGACATTGAATTCTTATTTTAATTGATAGTCTTTGGAGGTTTGAATTCCAAAATTTGATTTTTGGTTTTCCATTCACTTATAAGAATGGATATAGTAAAATTAATATTGATTATTTTCTTATAAGAAAAATAGATTGCAAAGTTTGTAAAATCATTCCTAATGAAAATTTATGTATATAATATAGTTTATTAGTTTTAGAATTTAAAAGGAAGGGATAAATTATAAAAACTGAAGTAAAATGTTGTCTTAATATTAGATTGGGGCATTTAAAAAACACTAACAAAAATATTCTTGAGAGTAAGATTCAAAATCTTATTGTTTTGACTGTATATAAGAAAAATATATTATGCGGAAGAAAATAGCTAGTGATATTAGGAAGTTGTAAAGGATGTGTCTGGAGTATCAAAAGGAAAAACACAAATTATTGGAGGGAGTTATTGAGCATATGTTACAATTTAATAGAATTATTTCTCAAAATCAATTTGGATTCATGTCAGGTAGGTCTACTATGGAAGCTATACATTTATTGAGATGTTTGATGGAGGAGTATAGAGAGAATAAGAAGGATCTACATATGATATTTTTTTTATTTAGAAAAAAACATATGATAAAGTTCCACGAGAAGTGCTCTAGAAAGATCTAGAAAAAAAGGGGATTAATAATGCTTAATAATCAAGACATTAAGGATATGTATGCAAGAGTTATTACTTGTGTTTAAACACAAGGTGGTTTGACCATGTATTTTCATACTTCAGTTGGATTATAGCAAGGATCAACTTTAAGTCCATATCTTTCAAACAACCTTCAATTACATATAGGCTACTGGTCATTTAATCTCTCCTCGTTCTAGAAGAGGGATTATCATGACCATTTTTAATCACCTATCAACTTCAAGCCATTTAGTTCCTCTTCTTTTAAGGGAGGGATTATCTCAATTTTATTGTCTCTATCAACATCAACACCTTTAGATTTCCTTCACTAAAAATCATAGTATATATTCACCAGAGTTTGAATATTATAGTTTATATTGACATATTCTTGAACTTAATATAGTCTCCTCCTCTAC